GTGTGTTCAGGAGCCCGACCCCGCCGCGTATTAGTTTTCCCTTTTTGAGGGCAGAGACGACTTGTCCATCGTTAACCCCTGACCGTAGTGTGGGCAATTATTTTGGGTTCGGGTTTTCGTATGCTAGTTGCCCCCTTTATCTTTTTTCCTGCTGACCTGGCTGGTGGAGTATTTTCGTAGAAATATTTTCCAAAAAATGTGGTTTTTTTGGTCAGAGAAGCATAGCGGGGAAATTTAGGGTCGGTATTGGTTTTGATTTGTCTCGCACCCTGGGGGTTTTTCTGCTCCACACTTCTTTGGATGGGGGCTAGAGTGAGGCCCTGGCGAATGATCCCAGCTGACTTTTTTTTGCTTTTGGACGGCCTGTTAGCTCATTTCGTTCATTTATAGAATCGAAGTTGACGTTTGTCCCCCAGGCGCCGTATTTTTTTAGGGCCTTTTTCCTGCCGCGGGTCTTGTAGGAGTCATTCCCCCAGGCCGCTGGAGGCTTTCGACTTTCTTTTATGTGCCCCGGGCCTGTTTTGTCACGCCCCCCGTCCTTCCGGATGCATTTTTGGGGTTGCCTGGGGCTATGCGGAGGATGTGCGGGAACCCCTTTGGGTATGGTCGAATTTCGCTCGGTTGTTTTCTAATATTTTCGCTTCTGCCTCGGTGAAAAAAATTCCCACCTGGCCTTCTCTAGGAAAAATTTGGGGCGTTGTTTTGTACATTTTTTCGGGAGGAGGCGTATTTTTTAGCAAGGGAGGGGGTCGGTGCATTTAAAATGCTGCCACTGTCCAGGTGCACCCTGCCCGTTCCCCTGTCACCAGGGATAAGGGCGCCGAGCTTTCTGTCTTGGGATGGGTTTAATTTTGGGGCATGAACCCCCCATTTAAAACAGGAGCTGGTTGGCCTCAAGAATTCAACCGGTTTTGTGGGTCGATCACCCTCATTTTTTCCCCCCAGTTCGTGGTGGGTTTTGGTCTCAGGGTCAAGTGTTGGGGCCCGTTTTTTTTTAAATTTTTCAGGGGTCTTTCATTTTTCCCGGCCCGGGTGTATACGAAGACAGTGAGGTGTCGGTTTTGTCTGCTATTTTAACGACACAGCCCGAGGTGTGGTCGAGAAAAACTCATGATCGATAGAGTCCAGTTGCGTTTTTGCGATCGCGACTCCGCCCGCCTTTTTTAGCTTTTTCTGTCTTTTGATGACGTTGAATCCGGAATTGAAGGGATCGTTTTTTTTAGCAGGTTTCCTGCAGGGCAAAAGGGGGTTTTTGGTTCCCCAGTGTTTGAATTTCACACCTGGTAGGTTTGCCTTTAGCCTCGGGGTTCCCTGCAGGATCTGGGTGGTTCTCCATTCTGGTGTGTTGTCTACGGGTTTGGTCACGCTATTTTAAAGGTGTTGTTGGAAGGATCGCAGTTTTAGCTGGGGGAGGGAACGGAAGTGGTCGGAGTCCCTCTTGTCAGTTTTGCTTGATCCCCGGCCGTCGCTCTTGCTTTCGTCAGTTTTTCTGACTCCGCACGTCGTAAGCTTATTAATAGCCTTTTCAACAAGGTTTTGGCGAGTTTTCCCCCATCGTGTTCGAATCCTTTTTTTGCTGCTTCCACCAATCGGTTTTGTATATTTGGCCCGGGTTTTTTATTATGATGTTTTTTTTGTTTGTAGTTCGGTTTGGTAATACGTGGGCCCCCCTACAGTGATTCGAGTTCTCGGAGTGGTGAGGGCATTTTGGAGATTGGTCTAGTGCGCTGGAGGAGGGCTATTCGCTCTTTTGCCAGTTTTCCTTTGAGCTTCGGATTTTCGCCCGTAAGCGCTTTTAGCGCTTTTTATTTTTAGCAAGATCCTGTGCTTCGCCGAGTTTGGTTTTTAGGGGCGGGTCATTTTGTTGACGGTTGTCTGGTTTTTGTTTGTTGATGGGGCGGGTATGCGGCTAAAAGGATCCCGAGGGCGACGGTCTCGGTCAGGGTCCTTGGTTTTGGGGTATTTTTTTTTTGGTACCCGAGTGGTAGTGGTTTTGGGTTTCCTCCCCTTTGTACCCCGCGGGCTTCCTTCCCTTTTGGGCCCCCCTTTGTACCCCGCGCGTGGTTTCCGCCCCATTAAGCACTTTTTTGTCCCTTTGATTGATAGTTTCACCAGGGACATGGGCTCACACGACGCCTTAGTCAGTCGTTTGATTTCGATGAACTTGAGAGTCGGGTTTTCCCTCTTTAGATTGTCGATTATTTTGTTGATGTTCTTTTTCGGATGGATGCCCTTTACTATTATGTCCACCTTCTCTGGAATTTCCTCCAGTTGTATCTCGATGTTACCATTCAGGGTGAGCTTGTGTGGTTCGTTAGTTTCTGTGAGTGTTTTGACCAACTCTTTGTTGTGGGTTGAGTGGTTCATTACTACTACTAGTTCCTTGTGTTGCCTGCTCACCCTGGCGATCGTTTTTCTGCCTATTTTTCCTTCAAGCGCGGCCTCCTGCTCTTTTAGGTTCAGACTGAAGAGTGACGCTTCTTTGAAACTTAGCTGCGTCACCTTCACTTTAATCACCTTCACTTTAATTGTTCTCGGTAAGAGGACTTCTTTTTCACCCTTTTCGGCTATTCTTGGTAGTGGTGCGGTCGAGGTTTCCAGCCTAGTGTGGTGTTTGGCCTGGGTCTTGCTGGTCATCTTGTGTGGTTCGACTGGTTCAGCTGCACTGGGGAGTGTAACTGGCTCTAGTGCGCCTGCCGGGTTGAGGCCGGCTGGCTGCCCGGGTGGGGGCGTGGGTGCCCTCCCGGCTGCTTTGTCCGCGTATGTCGGCGCCGAAACTGGTGTCGCGGGTGCCTTTGGGCTCTCGTCCATTGGGGTGGTTACATCAGTTTTGGCTTTGCGGATAGGCGCTGTCGCCGCGCTGGTAGCGGGTTTCCCCTTAACTGGGCGGCTTTTTAAGCTTCCTTTTGACGGGTTGTTGTCGCCCGACTTCGGTTCTTGAGAGCGAGCTCTCGTCGTTACCATATTGTCCGGTTTAGGGTTTATGTTGGCTAAGCCCTAATCAAGGATTTGAAGTGTTTTTAGTAGTAGACTATACTCACAAATCTTGATCCGGGCTCTGCTGACTTCTTGGTGGCTGCGTCGTCTTTTGAACGGTCTGAGCTTTCGCAAAAAGCTTGTCCTCTGCTAAGCAACAAGCCTGGTTAGGAGGACCACTTTAAAAGTAGACCTCCCAGGGTGTTCAAAGCAGTACACAAGGCTTAGTGCTGGGACAACGGACTTTTAGTCAGCGTATCAACTCAAGATTTGGGACCACTACAGCTTTCAGACCTGGCAGATCAAGCCGAGCAAAGCAGCGATCAACACCAGTGTCTGAGGAAACCTGTGACCCTCCTCTCAAGCGACCGCTGAGCTAAATCTGAGGCAACGTATCAGTAGCTAGTAGATTAGAGTGAGGCTACTACCTCTCACTTCGGCTCTGGTAGCGGGTAGTTTTAAGTGAGGCTACTACCTCTCACTATTATTCGGGCTGAAACGACTGACTGACTGACTGACTTTTAGTCAGCGTGTCGACTCGAGATTTGAAAACACTACAGTTTTCAGGTCTAGCAGATCAAGCCGAACAAGCAGCGATCCATACTAGTACCTGAGGTAACCTGTGATTCTCCTCCCAAGCGCACGCTGAACTAAAATCGAGGCGACGAACCCACTCGATAATAAGGCACTTCACGAGGCAACTGACCCTTCAGTCTTTCTTGCTTTATCCTGAGCGCTGGTTTCGCCGTGCGATCACAGAACGGACTTGACCAGTCACGGCCCTGACCTCTGTGTCAACCCTGGGGTGTCATGTCAACACCCCCACCTTACGGTGTGGTACACTGACTGTACTTGATAGGGTTGTGACACTCTGCCTCTTTTCCCCTGCCCCTTTCCTACCGTCACGATGTACTCCAGTTTTCTCTTTCTCCTCACATGACCAAAGAATGTAGATTGACATTCCAACTCTGCCATAAAAGGTGGTAAATAAGTGTAGTAATTATAGATGTTAAAGAAAACTAACCACCTGAGAAATTAGATGTTTGAGAATGGCCGTGAACAAAACTAGAAGAGACCTATGAGGAAGGAAGATATTACAAGACCTATTGGTACAACACCTGCAATTAAATTCATTGAAAGACAAAGACTAGAATGGTTTGGCCATTGAATGAGAATGAATCCAGCACCGAAAGCATACAACATGAAAGTAGAAACATCCAGAGGTAGGGGGACGACCAAGAAGCAGATAGATTGAGGGAGTCAGTGATACCTTGAGACTCACAACATCACAGCATACCGGGCAACCTAGCGTGTCGCAGGATTGACTTTATTGCACCTGGCTAGCTGCGTGCCGAGAGCGTCGCACAGACCACGAATTCCGTAACTCCGGCGACTATCTCCAGGATTCTAGGTAAAAACTGTGCTAGTGAACTGAACGACGCAGCTGTGAAACTAACCTACTACCTTCAGATCGCGAGGCAGACGGCTTGAGCATTTCACCAGGAAAACTTGCCGGCCACGTCCGAGGATATACGACTATTGTTTTCATGGCAAATATCAAATAAAACTTCCTTTGTGGGTTCCAGAGCCTCATTGCGCGGGAAAGGGGGGGGGGGTGGTATACCCTCTACCTTCCCAGCAAGCATGTCGTACATGTCGACTAACTGGGGGCTTTCTCTGAAATCGGTTTCTGGAACAAGACCAAATAAGGTCAAGAGTTTACAGCCGGTGAGCGCGAAGAAACAAAACGAACAGATGGCGAAAATAAAAAAAAATAAAAACGATGAATATTGGCGTGTGTGAATATTTGAGTTCCACTGCAAGTTTAAAACAGAATATTTAAGACAGAATAAAAAGAAATACAAGAACAAGAAGTTAAGATTAATAAAATAATGTCGCTGACTTTAACTACATTTAGAATATAATAACTCTATTTACGAAAATAATTGTTGGTTACACTAAATATTATTATACACATCAACGAAAACGTATAAATGTTCTTGCATATAAACTTTTCTGTCAAGGATTGCTGGAAAGAAATGAGAATTGGAGATCAGTCACTATTCCATTCTGTTGAACCATGCAGAAGGTATGAAATCATTTCTCAAATCATTTGTAATTATTTTATTGTTGTAGGCATCGGTGGTCTAGTGGTAGAATTCTCGCCTGCCACGAGGGCGACCCGGGTTCGATTCCCGGTCGATGCAATTAGATTTTTTTTAATGATGAGAAGAGAGCCTAAATACACCAGCTTTCTCATTGTAGCTGTTGAGTAACCCCTGTCACTATTTTGTTTCCCAATTTCCTGTTTACTGAAAGTTGTACAGGATTGACTAATCAAGTTGTAGTGGAGTGGACACCTCAACTTGTGTGGACATTATTCTTCTTCCATAGAGATAAGACAGGATAAGTTATAACCAGCTTCTCACAAAAACAGTCAGTAGATGTACACTGGGGTGGCTGCAGTGCATCGGGAGACTGAGCTCGCAAGGACATGAGGTTTAAGTTTTGAACAACGGATTAACATCATGGCACACGGTTAGTAACCCATAAGTGCTCCGTTCTTCCTCCAACTCAAATCGTGTCCGAAGAAGCTCAGAACAGAGCACACGCTCTGTAGCACCGGCGAATCCTGAAATACTTTGGATAGATTTTTAACTCCAAATTTTGCCCGGGCAGCGCCGTTAGGCTACTCTTTTAGAATTCCAACTGCCAAGGGATTTTTTACGTGCGCAACAATGCACACGGGTGTCCGATCTCACTACCGATGCTTCGAGACCACGCAGCCCCCTAATGCATGGACATGGGAATGCCCAACGTACAGTGACGTCAGTTGTGATAAAACGGATGTGCACGCAAGCTTCTAGGACATGATTAGAGTCTAGACGTGGATGAAGAACCAGAGCTTTCCACTGAAAGTTACAGCCAGTGAACACGATGAAGAAGTGATAACATAATATTTTGCTTCTTTTCTTTGTCTTTCGATGACACTTAGGACTGTCAACTGATTCCCGCTAAGCCTTCCCATCCTTTCTCATCCCATTCACGTCATGCCCACTTTAAGTGTTATCTGCCTCTCAGGCAGATGCACTCCGACTTCGAAGGAAGCTCCCAATTAATCGACTCTTGCTACATCCTTTTGGGTAGGCAGTAGGTCTATTCTTGTTTTCCCTATAACCAGGTCCCGGAACCCACACGATGATAAAAAAATAATGTCTCATGGTATACACCAACAAATACGGTAAGTGACTTGCCTTACTGACTGACAAGAATATGGGAAATCGACTGTCGCCAAAACTTGGGATCTCTGACATCATGTATTCATTCCTTTGCTGACACACTTTGCATTTCACAAAAAAAAAAAAAAAACTTGTCAGGCCAGCTATCAGTTTTCTTTCTTGGCCTTGTTTACCTGTACTCTGTACTTTTCTTTCGATAGATTATAGATCTTTCCAGCTTCTTTCTTCTTATAATGTAGCTCCTCTCCCACCCCTCACAAAAAAAAAAAAAAACACACACACACACTGTGACACACAAACATACAGATGACGACTATCCTCTCTTTCTGATTGGTGTGATACTTGACCCTGTTCATATGGAATACTCATTGTGAAATTTTATTATGGAATTATCGTGGAAATTGTAAATATGCAGGTGATTGCTAAACTCTAAGCTAATTATAATTTTAGAAAACAAGGACATTTACCACGTTATTTACTATGTAGGCATCGGTGGTCTAGTGGTAGAATACTCGCCTGCCACGCGGGTGACCCGGGTTCGATTCCCGGTCGATGCAATATTTTTGAAATTACGGTTATTTATATGATGGTCTTTCTTTTTACACACCACCGGTTGTAGATCAACTCCGCGGTTGAGGTTATGGGTGTCGCAGTCTGTTGTCAGGCATTTACATTTTTATTTCCGAGAAAGAGACGTCCTGTGACATAGGTTTTGTCACTCTCTAGTGGTGTTTTGTGTTAGACCCAGTATCTAAATGTGTTAGAAGTGCTAAAAGCTCTGGCATGGTGAAATATACAACATGCGGTTTTGAGCGTGAGTGTAGAATAGCCCCGTGACCTTGTGTAAATTTCGGATCCTTCGAGGCCGACTTATGTGTAGTGAGGTGGTCAGTAGGTCGTCCAATCAGAAGCGAACTAGTGTGTAGCGGTGTAAATGGGGGAGACCAGCATACAATTTACCAAAATTACATATACACCCCTCTTCAAAGTAAAATTTGATTTAAAAAAAATTTATATTTAACAAAATTGACGCAAAAAAGGTATATTCTTTCTGATTGTAAGCAACAATATTGAACCCTCTTCCATGACAGGTTACTAAACAGGGAGAACCTGTGTACACATTGCGCATCATACAAATGCTTCTAGCGAAGAAGGCAGAAAACACACACCAGCACGCACACAAACACGACAACTAAAATCTGTATTTTCCCCGTGCACAAGACATGTTCTGCCCATTTTTTTAAAAAATTGTGTGTGTGTGTGTGTTTTGTTTTGCTCAGTTACAAATCCTTCATTTAGTCGCCAATAGCAGTGAGAAAGAAAAAAAGACCCTTACCGTGTTGTATAGAGCTGTGTTATTGTTATATGCATGTGAGACATGGACAATAAGCAGACAAGCTGAAAAAAAACCGTTCAAACCAGCGGAAGTATGTGGCAACTCTCTTCGATACAGAGGAACGCCGTAAACTAATTTAAGGAATCAGACCGTCGATGTTTTTCAGAGAAGTTATGGAAACAAAAGGACTCGGGCATGCACAATTGTTAGCAGAACAGCAAAGACAAACTAATTGATGGCCTAACCATTTGAAAAAGGGGGGGGGGGGGGATAAGAACACTGATCCTCCCAGGAGGTCGATGGGGATCTAAGCTCTTGCTTCGTGCTCTTCAGGCTGCTTCGACCATAGACATATCGTGGTGCTGTAAAGTTTCTCTGATATTTTCCCATCTTGTTCTTGGTATACCTCTCGCTCTACGCCCCTCTCCTCTTTTAATATATGCCTTGCATCGTATAGCATCAGATGGCATTCTCTCCAAGTGGGCAAACCATTTGATTTGCTGTCTTTACATGTAATTTAGAATTGGTTCTGTACCGACTTTATCTCATATGACATTATTCCTGATTTTTATCTTTTCTGATCAATCCTACGGTCTTTTTCAGACACCTCATTTTCATGGTTACTAATTTTCTTTTATGTTTCATTGCCCCTCCATACCATAACAAAAGGTTGTCAAGAATCTTCTCGCGTTGTCTTCCTCTGTTTCTCTTCCCACAGATCTTTCCGGTGGCCGCAACATGTTTCAGTTTCCCCTTTTCTCATGACATGACCAAAAATTGACGACTGTCTCTAATGTTCGTGATAAGTTGTCTTCCGACCCTCGTCTCATTCAAAACATCTCGGCTGCTCCTTGGGGGGGGGGGGGGGGGTGTTCCAATTACTTCTAAGTATTCTCCTGTAAAACCACATTTTCGAGGCCTCAAGAAATTGTTTGGCTTGTTTATGAATTGTCTAGGAGCTACAGCCATAATGGCTATTTATGTGGTATTTTACTTGTCTCTTTATTTTTTATTTCAACAATTCTGTTATGTTTTTCATTGTCTAACGAACCTCTTTCTGTAATCTTTTGTTTTTCATTCCATGAAATTGCCTTATATATACACTGTTAACTGAGAGCTTAAAACAAACCAGACTACAGTATCTATATTTCTATGCCTGCGCAAACAATGATTGTGATATTAACCATTTTAGACATGTGAGCTGTTTGTTTTTTTCTTTCTTCACTATTTTGCCAAGACTGAGCCACAGGAACGCGTGGCGGGTAAAGCTAGTTAGGAAATATGGTAAATACGAATGCAGCCACTTTTACATCCAAGAACTGTAAATATCAATAGGTTTCCCTTCTCTTCATAATTTCCTTTTAAAATCTATACACGAAAAGCGGAACTTTGCTGGAATATAGTTTTTTTTAATTATTATCATTATCGAATGATTTCAGATGTGTTGTTACAACCGTTGATCCAAACACCGGCGAATACAACAAAGAAAAACAGCCGTTAGCACTGCTGAAATCGTAAGTGATTGTTAACAGTCCAAGACTTCATTTTGTACCTAAAAATTATCTCATGAAGTTTTGGCTTAAATGAATTTGTAATGTTGACTGAAATATTTCTTTAACACAAAATGCGCATGTTGTTTTTAATTGACAAACTATTTTCTTCTTCTTCTTTGTGTTCACTGGCTGTAATTTTGGTAGAGAAGCTCTGTTTGTTTAAACACTTCTGCACATAAGCCTTGTTCCAGAACTTGAGTTTGGCTAGCACATCCGTTTTAAAGACCTAGCTTCTTCGCAGACTGACTCAGGAGTGTCAACCCCTTGTTGGTTCCGGAACGCATTGGGGAAAGTGGGAGGGGGGGGGGGGGTAAGATAGACCGTTTCCCCCTTACATGTACGTAAAAGTTGATTAATTAGGCATGTTTCCTGTAAGGCAAAGAATCAGTAGTCAGCATACAAATAATTAGATTTGTACAATGGATGTGCACGCAAAAGAAGAAGAATAAAAAAGAAGAATGAAAAGAAGAAAAAGAAGAAGAAGCAACAGCGGCAGAAAAAGAAGCAGAATCGGCAGAAAAAAGAAGAAGGAGATGAAGAAGAAAGAGAAGAAAAGAAAAAGAAGAAGAAAAAGACGGGTCTGTCCTCAATCCCTCTATCGGCAGTATTTTCAAATAACTATATACGATTTTACTGTCCCCAGTTTCCGCTGCCGGTCACCTTATGGAACTGCACCGATATTTGGATTGTACGTTTCCAATGACATTCCTGGACATATCAAAGTCGGTGATTCTGTTTATGTAATGAAAGATTAGATCAATACAACTATTACAACTGTAACAAGTGGGAACTACTAGATTTGGCTGAGATGATCTGTTTTTCACTTAAGTTATGCAGGTCAGCAAAATCCCTAGGCTGCTACGTATCGATTAACCACTAAGAAATGAAATGCCTGAAAAAAGCAGCTAGCTTAACCATCCGAGACAAAGTTATAAATGACATTATCAGGCAGACTGTAGGAACAACACCATATAGCAAATTCATTGAGAAACAGAAAATCAAATGATTTGGTCATTTAGTAAGAATGCAGCCTGAACTATCAACTCAAGGGCTACACATGAAAAGATCTGTAGAGAAAGCAAGAGGCTGTTCTAGGAGAATATGGAAATAATGAAATTGAAGAGATTCTACATCGTCAAGCAATGGCAATAGCTGCATATCAAGCAACCGATTGCAAACTGTTCCTCCCCACAACGCTTAATGGCAGAAGTGGAAACTGATGATGATCTGTTTTTCACTGCTTTTCAAATGGGTCAGTGAAGGGCATTTCTTATGATTTTCATTGGCGTCGGAAAAGAGCAATTATGGGGTGAGGTTATTTATTAATATCCTATCCCAGGTGACATTACAGGACAGGTAAACATTTTAGAGGGTGGTAAGACTAGGTTTCCCGGTTTCCTGATGCTTTTAACGATCCCAAAACATCTAGAACTGGGCCTGACCCCAACCCACCTACGTCCCATGAGAGAGTGCAGCCTATCTACCACCCCCTAAAATATTAGACTCTTCCGTGACCTGTGAATTTCCTCCGTTTAAGGTAAGATATTAATAAAGCACCTGGGGTGACTCGTTTGCCACGAAGCTGAACCTCGACTCAGATTAGACAAATAACAATGAACAATGCCAGTAATGCAACATTTCCGTTTTTATCATCATCATCATGTGCGTGTGGATAAACACAGGCTGTCTCACACGATCACCAGAACCACAAATCAGTTAAATAATTTTGTCTCGCTCCATCAATGCTGAACAGTCTGACATTATATCATTGAAGATCGTCTGAGTCAGAACTGATTGAGAGTACAAGGAACACAAGCTCGTGGATAGAAAATGACTACCGATGCCATAAAAAAAAATCATCATCATCTTCCCCTTTTGCGATTAAGCATCACAGTGAGGAAGAGTTGGTGGTGTAGTATTCCCTGTTTTAGGTCTTGGATGTTTATTAGGTTTTTGGTTGAGCCTTCCCTGATGATGATTCTACACAGGGTCTGTCTTGGTCTTCCCCATTCTCTGTTCTCTTCCGGTGTCCATATGAGGGCTTGATAGGAGAATCTGGTCTTATCCATTCTGAGTACACGGCAGATGTAGTTCCAGCAGTGCTTTCTTTTGAAAATTGGATAAGATTATCTTGCTTGGTTTCTTGTCTTATTATTAGTATTACCCATAAAGGAACAATAATGTTCTAAATGTCGTCAACCCATATTCTTCTGAACCCTTTCAATCCCATGAGAATTGCCCAAAGAGGCAGAGGTCATAGCCACCATCAGGAGTGCATTACTTTCAAACTGGCTGCACAAATTGGAAGCACACATTGTAGCAGCTAAGCCTCTTCTTTAAAATACTTTCACAACATGTAAAAAGTCAGGAAGGCACTGGGTGATTTTCCAGATATAAAAGGACAGATTAATCCCTCATCTTGTGTTCTCTGGGACTGCAAGAGTTAAATACCCTCTTTCTTTCATATCAGATATTCTTACATGTTCTGCCTGTCTTGGAAACTGATGCTGAAACATTATAAAGAGATTTTAAAGGGTAATGGTGAGAGGATCGACTTCACGGCACTGGGTTTTTATCCCATATGGCTTAGTCTCTGTCCGCAGAACAGCTAGCTGCCTGCCGAGAGCACTGCACAGAGCATGACCTCTGTAGCTCCAGCAACGGAGATTTGAAAAACAAATATTAAAGAAGCCTTTTATACACTGGAGGCACAGCACGCATTTGATGCTAGATGTGTATTTTTACAGACAAAAAGTAGTCTGTAAGTGATGTGGCCAGCATCACACTGGCCACTTTTACTTCCCAGGACGTTCTCTAATATCAATTTTAGGCTGCGTTGGCCTGGATACCAAGGTCAGTTAAAAAAGATCCATCCCAGTGGGAAATCAAACCCCAGACCTTCTAACGAGATGCCCAAACTATCTAATCATAAATTTATGTATACAATAAAGGCTATGAAAATCTGTGGTTTTGTTAAAGATAGTATTTGCAATGAATAAAATCTATGCAGTGCCAGATCTATCTGTCTCTGTTTTTATTTTCTGTTACTGATTAAAGATATCATCATCACCATCAGCAGTTCTCATCTCAGGACTGTCAATAGCAAATCACCAATTTCTCCAGTTTTGATCAACATGGTTAGCTCCTCATCCTTAACCCCAGATGTCAGTTCTGTTTAACGATACTGGTCTTTTGCCAGTGCCGCTTTATAATTTAAATATTGTAAAACCGATACATACGAATGAATGTTTTGTAAACTTAAACAAAATATATGTGCATTAAATTCTTATTCTTCTGTGTTTTGCTGGCTGTGAACTTCAATGTAAAGTTCTAGTTTTTCATCTATGTTCGGGGCCCTATTGTAGGGAAAACAAGAATAGACCCACTGCCCACCCAAACGCATATCGTAAGTGTCGACTAATTAGGAGCTTGCTTGGAAGTCGGAGTGCATCTGCCTGAGAGGCGAGGAACCAACAGTCTGCATATAAACTAGTCAGATCTGTCAAACAGATGCACATGCAACACTCGGGTTCTAGAAAATGACTGTAGTCCAGAAGTGGACGAACAACCAGAACTTTCTACCAGAGTTTACAGCTGGTGAACACGTAAAAGAAGAAGAAGATCCTTGTCTAGACTTTGGTCTTGTTCCAGGTCTTGAGTATTAAGTGCACATCTGTTTTGCAGATCTGGATTATTGTTTGCAGACTACTGGTTCCTTGCATCTCAGGCAGATTTAAAAGGAAGCATCTATCTAATCTACATTGGCCAGGCCCCAGTGAGGGAACCAATGTTTAGGATGACCACAGAGAGGTGTAGATAGTTCCTGGCTAGTTTGACCCCTGGTCATCCTCACAAAAAACACATGTAGTTAGCATACATATGTATTATGTACAGCCTTTCAAATAAACACAAAAATTAAGCAGAAATTCTGGTTTTTATTAAGGAAATAGTATTTTATATTAATCTGCAGAAGTTCACATCAGCAACTCTCATTTGCTAGTAAAAACAAACAACACATTTAAAATCTTTCTCTCTCTCTCTCTCTCTCTCTCTCTCTCTCTCTCTCTCTCTCTCTCTCTCTCTCTCTCTCTCTCTCTCTCTCTCTCTCTCTCTCTCTCTCTCTAAGCAACAGTTGCATAGCTTTTTTGGCACACTACTGAAAGTATGTCTAAAACTTGCAATGCTCACACAATAAATTCATTAACACAAATATAACTTCCATGTGGGTCATGCTGGGCAGACAAGTTACTCTGCATGATAAGACCAGTCTGTCCATAATATGTTTGTTATTACATGATGCCTATCAAATATGAAATTAAAAGGCAAAATAAAAATTAAATTTTGTGTTTCACATCAGAGCTGGACAATCAAATATCTCAGAGCTGGACAATCAAATATCCCAGAGCTGGACAATCAAATATCCCAGAACTGGACAATCAAGTACCCCAGAGCTGGACAATCAAGTACCCCAGAGCTGGACAATCAAGTACCCCAGAGCTGGACAATAAATATCCCAGAGCTGGACAATCAAGTACCCCAGGGGTGGACAATCAAATATCCCAGAGCTGGACAATCAAGTACCCAAGGGCTGGACAATCAAGTATCCCAGAGCTGGACAATCAAGTACCCCAGAGCTGCACAATCAAGTACCCCAGAGCTGGACAATCAAGTACCCCAGAGCTGGACAATCAAGTACCCCAGAGCTGGACAATCAAATATCCCAGAGTTGGACAATCAAATATCCCAGAGCTGGACAATCAAGTACCCCAGAGCTGGACAATCAAGTACCCCAGAGCTGGACAATTAAGTTTCCACTGGCACCAGCATGGGAACTCTGGTGGCTACTGCAGAAGAAGAAGAAGAAGAAGCAGACATGAGAATGTCCCCCCCCCCCCCCAGTGCAGTGTTGTTAACAAAAGGATAGGAAGAAAGTACTTCAAACATCACTATATTTACAGTTTTTACCGTAACAGCATAGGCCGAAATACTTTCTTTACAGACAAACTTTTCAAAATGGAGTGTCTGGGTTTCCTTGACTCTGTCCAGTCCCAACATATTCATCCAAACATGTTTTAGTCAGCCTGGAACTTCAACAGCCCTTTCAGTATTAGAAATGTTATTTTCTCTTTGAAGTCTCCATTAGCTGTATCGACAATCCTGGAAAAAAAAAGACGCTATTAGTAAATATTAAAAAGTAAATATTAATAAAAATTAGCAAGTTTGTATCTATATTACAACAAAGACGTCTCATGAAAAAACCCATACCAAAATACTGCTTGTAATTACCACCTTGGCAGTGGGGTTGGGGGGGGGATGTCTTTGAGTCCGAGGATTTAAGACAGCATGGTTTTACATTCACCCTTAAAAAAGGCAGTTGGCCCGCTGTGCGGTGGTTTACATTATGCTGTGGTATCTGTGACTTTTGGCCCAAGACATAAAGCTTCATCAAATCCTTAATTAGTCGCTTTTTATGATGTGCTTGTTAAGCAGAAGTGGGTCTATTCTATTTTTCTCCATCAACGGAGCCCTGGAACCCACACAGTGAACTCTGATAAGCAATACTTATATATTTTAAACTGATCAGTTTTAAAAACTGATGAAACAGTGCATCGGGGCACTAGTTTCCAATAAATTCATGCCAGTTTAATCTTCTGCCAAATAACTCACTCCATGTTCTCTCCATTTATTAATTTGTCTCAAATCATGACTAAGTCTGTTTTTTAAATTTTTTTCAGCCTGCTTTATCCCGTGGGTTCCAGTAAAAAGACATTCTAGTTACACAAATGTTTATCTGAGTGGATCATAAGCAGCATTGGTGTCTATTCTTCCTGTCTCTGTTGCAATATGTTTAGTCTTCTCCTCTTCAATGTATAAATATTTTAAACATATGAACAAACTCTCTCTCTCAAACTTAGAGATCTCCTTCACTTTTTAACATTTCTAAAATAAAAATACTAATTCTCTCTTCTTTCTCTACAACTACTATCAGAGTAACAGTTAACACTAACCTTTGTGCTTGTTTATAGTCCGACTGCAACAGATGAATCAAGTTCATAATTCTGGGGTCGAGAAGTGTCTCCATCACCCGAGGGTCATTCAGCACTTCCTTGACCTTGGCATCTTCATCTGCTGGAATTTCCTGGATATCAGCCTGTTTATCTGCAGTAGGAAGCCTGATATCTGCTGCTGAACGTTTTGTTGATTTCGGAAGACTTAACTCAGGTGCAACTTTCGATGAATGTTCACTATCTGGAATATCTGTAATTTTAGCTGCCTTTTTATCATTGTCTTTTGTCTGTTCCTTAAACTGAACCAATTCTGATTCACCGTCCACAAGTTCTATGATTTTTGGCTTTGGTTTTTTATCCAAATTTTCAGGCATTTTCTGCACTCGTGGTGGAGGCAAGTCGCCAACACCTGGATTTGTATTTCTTGAAGTGCTGGCCGAACCATCACCTAGCTTGGTAAAATGATCACCTGAAAAGAGAAAAAAAACAGAAATGAGATTGCTGCTAGTGCCCTAACATTCGTATTTGATAAGAATTAGTAAAGTATTCCTCACAACTTTGTTTCATGAACCAACTTAGTCACTGCTACTGCACATACTAGTGGAGTCCGTGGCTTAGGTGTTGAACGCCCGACTCTAATTCCAATGTACTGCGATCGAAACCTACTGCCTGGATTTCTATCATGGTGTGGAGCGTCGTAGGTCAACCCAGCCTAAATTGGGTACCAGGATGTATGTCCTGGGAAAGTAAAGACGGCCGGCGTAATGCTGACCACATTACCCACCTAGTGCCGAATGGTCTGTAAAAATATGGGTGCTCTTCCCATATGCCCAATGCGCTTAAAGGGATCTTTACTTTACTTACTGCATCAGTGTTCTTTTTTTTTTTAACCAATATACCTCAGCAAGGGCTTTAACACTTTTCCAACCATACAAATAATAATTTAAAATACTAACTGCTTGACATATCAAATGTTAACAACATATGATGTTGAAATGTTCATTCATACCAAGCAAGCCACAGAACTCCATAAGAAACTTCTCCACCTCTTTATTTCCTTTATACTTTTCCATCGCAGCAACAGGATTTGTCTGGAACTCCTCCAGAGCCTTCATAAAATGTGGGTCTGCAAACCTCTTCAAAAGCAGTTCATTTTTTTCAACCTTGTCTAGTAAGTCATCACTGATCCAGTCTGTGAGATGAAAAAAAGAACTCCTGTTATATACACATACATACAATATTCCACATGTGACAGATGTTCCTTGACACTTCCTTGTGCCAGGGAAAGCTACTACTATTGTCTACAACAGTAACTACCTTTTTGTATATGTCTGTGGATCTGCCACAAAGACTGCTGTATTTACCTTTAAAATGGTGGCTGAGATATTGTGCTTTCCAGGATTTGTGTGTGCATTTGATTCACATCCTTGACATGTAAATCCTAAACTCTACAATCCTGGAGAGGCTATATATTCAAAACAGCCATGTACTGATCGGCATTCACAGACAGAAGTAAAAAGTTGGAAGCATAAATTAGACAACATAAAACTCAAACGCTATAGTTACCATGCGGGGAAAAGCTGTCACATTATATGTTGTCTAGTGGGTCCAATATTTTATGCAATCTTTCTTTGTCATTGGTATGAGAAAGAGAATTCTTAAAGGCTATATAAACCTTATCTTGACTTATGGAAGTAAATCATAGACAGTTAGTAGACTAGTGAAAATTTATTTGGAAGCTGTGGAGACGTGGTTTTACAGACAAATGATGAGAATGCCCTGGACAGACACAAAGAGTAATGAAGATGTCTTGAAAGAGGCTAAAGGAAACAGAGAGAAAAGATGCTGGACAGTCTGACATCATGGCACGGAAGATTATCTGTATCAGAGTTGATTGAAAGTACATAAGACAGAAGGTTGTGGATTAGACATGACTACCAACGCCATACACTAGGGACTTTGAGAAGAAGAGTCTCCTTCTATATTTCTACTTGTTTCTATGAGTGCCAATCAATACATGTCTGTAAAAATAATTTTATCAAGTATTTTCAGGATCCTCTCCGGTGCTACAGAGTTCGTGCACTGCACTGACATCCTTCGGAGTCAGGCTTGAGTTAAAGGTAGAACGGAGCACTTATAGATTACTACTAGGGCTGTACCGAATATTCGCTTCATATTCGCTTTGGGCCGAATAGTGGATGTATTGACTATTTGGTCGAATAGTTGTGGTCGGGCGGAATACAAATAGTAGTTTCCTTACACCCGCTTCTGCATACACAGCGTTAAGGAGCGATTGGTTTGTTGAAAGCTAATGCAGCTTTCCTGCATTAACTAAGCTGTCAGTGACAATTTCCAAGTTTAGTTACTTGTTAAAATACTTAGAATTATTTCATTCCTAGTTATTAGTTACCACAGACTGACTGAAGGATGCAAAACATAAAATAATTTTAAATGTTTACCTGTACGAATACTAACTAGACATGGAAAGAATATAAACTCCGGCCACAGATTAAGTAACAGCAACATTTTTGAATATGATATGATGAGTACTGGCACCTTTTTATTTAATGATGTAAAGCCGTGGGTTAATGTATACAATAACAACATATATGTCACCTGGATTATCTAACAGTCCTTTAGCTTCTGACATTGCTTGTTGAACTTCATCTAATGTCAGGTCTGACTGAGTTTTCCCTGACTGTGGAGAAATGAAAGGGATATCGCTGTCTTTCTTTGCTGTGTCAGATGTCTTTGCTTTTAACTGTGCTGGTTTTACTGGATCAACATTCTTTTTATGACTGCTAGCCGCAGATGAGCCTCCAAAGAGAAAACCCTTCTTCAGTCCTCCAAACACTTCCCCACTTGATGCCCCAGAAGCTTTTGTTGATTTTGGTGGTTGAGAGGATGTTGCTGATGCTGTTGTTGGTAGTACAGATGTGACAGTGGATTTCTCCTGTTAAAAGAAAAAGTATACATAGTTCATAAATATTATTTTTGAGGTATTAATATGTAAACTATGAATTTAAAACCTATCGTTTTGAACAAATAATTTTTAAAAATGTGACTATAGCCACCTGCTGACTATAATTTACTAATGAATAAATAACAAGAAGAATTTACTAAAATGCTTTATTAAAAAAATAGTTACTTTAACATTACTGGCTGTTATACTATGGTTATTAACGTTAACAAAAAGGTCCTATTTACGTTTTCTGCCCCCATGAAGAGTGACTTCTCTTGCCACTCATGAATCGCAGTGTTGCAGGGCTTGTCCTACGTTGCGGGGATGTCGCACTTTGACACCGGCTGGCGATACAGTCCCAAAACATGCAGAACTGGTCCTAACCCCAATCCCCCCTACGTCTCAGGAGATAGCGCCGCCTACATCCCAAAGTGTCATCTAAGCGCTCAAATCAGTAGCTGGGCAATGGAAACTTCCTATTCCTGAAAAGGAGAATTTTCATCAGCAAAACCTAGCTAAACAAATAACTTTTCACGGTATGAGCGGTCAGGCGGTTATCAATCCTTTTGGCAGAAGTCTCTAAACGTAACATAAATAATGACAAAGATCCCAATGAAGGAAAAAAAAAAAAGAAATGTACACAACTACAGCTGAACATGTTGACCAAAGTCTTTATCAACAACAATAGTAATCATAAACCACAACAAATGAATGAGAAGGTCACACAAATAGAAAAAATGTTGAAATTAGGAACATTAAATAGCTATTAAAAATGGAATTACTTCAGTTATCCTTATTTTTGATACAACACAAAACACAATTTTAATAGTGGGACAGGAAGAGGTGGGGAAGGGGGTGTGTGCCTCCATGGCGAAGCAAACAAGATGTTTGCCTCGTGCTCTGAAAGTCGTGGGTCCATTTCACAGCTGCATCATTTAGTTTACGAGTGACAATTTTGAAAGATATCCCTTTAGATTTTCATCAGAGCTACAGAGTTTATACAATAGCGCTTTGAAGGCAGCAAGCCATTCTGCGGAGAGAGACCAAGCTATGTGGGATAAAATATGTGCAACGAAGTTGATCCTCTCGACCATTACTTTAATAGAGGGTCATGAATCCTAGTGAGTTAGTGACGTATACTTTATTAACACAGCAGAACCAACCCAGAATTTATTTTGTAATATTTTCGTTGTTGGGAATCACTGTGCAATTTAATGTTTAGCATTACTAGTGGTGTCAGATGGTCAGAGCTTTTTTACCATTATCAAAATTGACATAAAGTGGTCTGCTTTCAAACAGCCTGCAGCTGGAATCAAAGCAGGTATTTCGGAATTACAAATCATGTTTGCAACACCTAAACCATAGATTCTGATGTAAATCCTAGAAAATTAGGATATAAGAGAATTTGCATAGCAACAATGAGTAATTTGAACATTTTGCAAGAATCTAAGGCATCAAGAGAACTCATGACAAAGATCATAAAGAGGAAGTCATTGCTTTTTTTATGGTGATTGGGGGGGGGGGGGGGGTATGATGTGGTAGTAGGAAAACTAGTATATAACTCATGAGTTACAGAAACAGAGATGGAAGAAGACAATACAAGAAAACTATTTCGTCTATAGTCACTACACAAAAAAATTTCAACACACATACAAGACATTCTACTGTGGGAATAAACGATTAACAAAGGCAGCGGTCTGAGGAGAATGGCACTGCGAGGAGTTACAAGGAGATATGGCAGACGCTTGACACTCAGGGGAAAGGCGAGACAGATATACAATGAGACAGTTAGTGGTACCATTAGAATTTGAACTCTTCACTTCCTGCTTAAGATGGGGACGGAGCGCTTATGGAGGTGTCTCGAGTCCTGTGATGTCGATTCCTTATTCAACATTCAACAAAGGCAGTCAGCAATCAACGTAGAGATAATGCTTAAGAGACTAACCTTATGACCACCCACTGCTACTTCACAGTTTACAGTCTGCCCAGCAACTGCCGTTGCTGCCTGCAGATTAATTGCCTTCGCTGTCACAGGTTTCCTCACTTTGGCTCTATCTTTGACACTGCCAGTTTTTAACGTGGGCTTATCACCACTTGCTGTGTCCAACATTCCTGTCCTGATAGCAGATGCTTGTTTTAGGACTTCAGTCATGTCCTCTAGTGGTGGAATATCTTTGAATAGTGAAGTAGATTACACAGATAACACATGCTGACATTCCAGTATTCTATTATCTGCTAACATAAAAGTATGACAATATGTCTTATTTAATAAGTCACTTTTATTTGATGTCTCTCTTTCTCTCGTTGTACCCCATCAGGACGGACATCACACAAGCGATAAACACCCGGTGACACAAAGTGTCACCATGCAAATAAGGATCACCCGTGGAGAGGTCCCAGAAACTCCTTTCAGCCGCCAGGCCATATTTATGACCTGGCTATATTCAGGCCCCCGGCAAAAGCCAGGGTTGGGCTTCAATTAACAAAAAATTGCATCCCACATGGGGATGACTACCATGTCACACGATTTCATGTCAGAAAGAGAGTGCTTAAATGTTACACAGAACCTGTTCTGCTGTTTGGCAGCAAATCTTGGAATGTCAGTGAACAAATTAGGAAAAATTTGGAAGCAACAGAGATGTGGTTTCTGAGACGAATGTTACGAATACCTGGGACAGCCAGAATAACTAACAACGGTTGTTTGAAAGAAGCTAATGAAAGTAGATCTCTATATACAACAATAAAAAGGAGACAAACACTGTTCTTTGGCCATGTAATGAGAAGAGAGGCATTGGAAAACATTGTGACAATTGGAAAAATCAGTGGAAAGAGGGACAGAGGCAGACCAAGAGAGTTGATGCTGGATGGGCTCAAATGATGGCAAGAAGGGATATCATTAAGAGAACTGTTCCGGGCAATCAGGGATCGTGATCTGTGGAAATGCACGAGCACCCACACCCATGATGATGATATTATGAAAGCTACAATAATATGAAAGCTATGATAATACAACAGCTATGATATTATACAAGCTAGGATAATAGAAAAGCTATGCAGAAGTGCAAATCTTCTTCTTCACTTTCACCCGCTGTAAACTCTGGCAGAAAGTTCTTGTTGTTTGTCCACCTCTTGATTTTAGACTTGTCCCAGAACCTGAGTGTTGCGTGCACATCCATTTTACAGATCTGACTTATGTGTGCAGATTGTTGGTATCTTGTCTCTCTTTTTAATTACATTTTGTTATGTTGGGGAAGAATGGTGGGGGGGGGGGGGGGGGGGGGGGGGGTCCTTGCTCAGGAGGGCACTAACTGAAAAAGTTGTAGACCACTATGTCTGTTTATTCAATGGATCAACATCATGGTACATGGGTGTAATCTATAAGTGCTCCATTCTAACTCAAGCCTGAGTCTGAAGAATCTCAGCGCAGTACACAAACTCTGTTGCACCAGCAAGGATCATGAAATACTTTGGGTAGATTGATAACTGAAAACTCTGCCTGGGCAGCGCAGGTAGGCTACTCTTTTTCGATTTCCAACTGCCAAGGGATTTTTTAAGTGTACAGAAATACATATGAGCAGCCGGTCTTACAACCTAGAGACCAGGGAAAATTACTAGAAATCCACGCGAAAAAATCCCAGCCTTTATCAAGGCTTGAACCTGTCACCTTTAGCCCTCGAGGTGGATGCCGTACCTCGAGACCACTCAGCCCCATGTTGAAGGCCACTGCTTCAAAAATGAAGACCAAAGAGAGTACCCTCCATATCTATTCCGAAGAGAAAGGACTAACAAAAAGACTCATTCATACATGTATACATTAATTCACGTTTAACTGACGTAGAGACTCTGGCAAGTTCAGTTACATTTCATTTTGTCAGGTGTATCTAGCATTTCATATAATATAATTTTTTTTTCAAAAGAGAAACTAGAAACTATGAAACTAAACTAAACTTCTAACGTTAAACTACAAATTTAAACATAAATGTTATTTCCAGCCTGCTACTTTTAAATAGCCAAACAGTTTATGAAAAATAAAGCTAAAATGTTGGGTTAAATTACAAATACATCGTAAAAAATATGTTTTCAGTACAATTTTATGTGTGCATAATATTTCAAACAACTTGACTCGCTTACCGGAGTCGTCCGCCATGTTGACGCAGCCTAGTTACCTTGACATTCAGCAGCGGGTAATCTAAAAACATGCATGCACAAATGCAGGGAAATAAAATGTCTGTGCCGGTTTAGAGGTCAAGATAAGAAAGAGCAACTTTTCAAGCAAACAATCAGCATTGGCAATTTAGGATAACTACTGTATCAGAGGCCTAATATCCAATAGGGGTCTCTGTGGCGAAGTGGTCAAGCCGTTTGCCTCGCGTTCTGAAGGTCGTGGGTTTATTTCAATAGCGCCATTCAGTTCACGAGTGCAGTTTTACGGATATCAATGGGACTGATTTGATTTGATTTGATTTAAGAACCGACATCACAGCACTCGGGCTATTCCCATAAGCGCTCCGTCCCCATCTTCAGCAGCCAGTGAAGAGTTCCGATACTAATGGTGCCAGTAGCTTTCTGATTAAACGTCCGTCTTGCCTTTCCTCTGAGCCTTGATAATCTGCCAGAATCTCTCGTCACCCACAACTGCATCAATCTCACCAGACTGTGGTGATCCATCTGCTCCTCCGCATTGTACACGCTCTCCCACAAGGCACTAACCAGGTCTGCCCTTTCATGTAGCAGTATTCCACCAAGTTGTACAGAGCCAGCCAGTCTGTCCGCCTGTTCATTTCTCAACACACCGGCGTGACCCGGTGAAAAAATCCAGACTATACTCCTCACTCGTGTCCTCCGCAGCGAAGCATGCCACTCTGCACGAAGCATACCTGTTCTGATCTTCCTCAGCATGCTTTCTGAACCAGTTACAATTACAATGTGTGTGTGTGTCGTGTTCTCTAGCCAGCGGAAAGCGGCAGTGACCGCCTCCACCTCCATTCTTAAGCTGGATGTTGTGGTATCATTTGTTAGGCTCTCCTGCACCAAACGTCGACCATTAACTTTTGATAAAAAGCTCCAAGCACTTCTTTTGCCTCTTGACACTGAACCGTCTGTGTAAATGATCAAATCCTCTGAGCGAGCATTATCTTGAATTAATTGCTGAATTTCCACCTCTGTGGCACCTGCTGGCCAGTCTCTACATTCCCGGCTCAGCGTGATTATGACTCTACACAAGTGTGACTGCTCAGGTGGCACTTTGACCCACTCCTCTCCTCGCCTTATGTTCTCAAGGATGCACACCTGTCTGATTGTGTCTTCTGCCTGAGCCATCCATGACCTCCCTCTTATAAGCCGCTGACCCTTAACTGCACCCAGAGCTTCATGCAGAGGGTGATCTGTGTCTGCAGCTACCCTGAGATATGACCGTCTGCAGCACTTTGTGCCTACCTGCAACCGTCGGCAAACAAAGGATGTATCGCATACACACCACTGGGGTGTCTCTGGTACAACCCTGAATGACCCGCATAGCCGCGTTCTGTATGCGCTCTAGTTTGTCTATCTGACTCTTTGAGACGGTAAGCAGTCCCAGGCCATAATCCACCACTGACAGGATCAGGTGTTGATATAGTGTGAAAAGCATTCTCTGCTCTATGTCAATTGCAGCCATAGTCTTAAGTGCACTAAGTCCTTTTTGGCATCTCGTCACAACACTCTCCACATTGTCCTTAAATGACAGGCTCCTGTCAAATGTAATTCCCAGATACTTCAGTTTGCCCTCTCTGTTGACGTCTCTACCATCTATCGTGAGACTTGGGACATTAGTTTTAACAATTCTGTTGTTCAGAGAACGCCACAAAACAGACGCCTTTTCCGGGTGGACAGAAAAATGGGGATTGTCGCCGTTCTATGAAGAGAGACCGAGCCATATAAGATAAAACCAGGTGTAATGAAGTCGATCCTCACGACTTTAACTTTTTAACATTTATAATGTGAATTAATGGGATAAATTTGGCCAGCTTCACGCAATCTATAAAACATACCTGTCATCACTTAGCACTTAGTAAAGTGTGTGCATCGTCACAATGTAGCAGGTCCGTTGCAGAACGTCGCTGTCATCTCGGGCTGCCCGAAAAAACAGTCTCTTGCCAGCTTCTCGTGCACTTCTCTTCCCAAGGTGCCAGTCGCTTATGTCATGCGCCAATCTTCGCACTGACTGGCTCCCTCTTTCCTAGTATCATGGAAAGGTCCCTTTTCCACGCCCTCAGGTGTACTGGGTATTTATGGCTTAACTGATATTGACCATCGGTGAGTGATCACATCGGCGCCATTTACTTCCCAGCACTCATCTAAAATGTTCATTTTCCCCGCCTTTAGGTGAAGGCCTACTGGGAATATAGGGCTAGACCTATATTTTATAGACCAACCGGCATTTGTTGAGTGATGTGGTCAGCATCACGCCGGCCACCTTTACTTCCCAGGACTGGACTTGGTAACCCAAGGCTGGGTCGACCTGTGAGTCAAGGTTATTTTTGAAAAACAAAAAGTCTGTCTCCGTCAAAGCACTTTATCTGGTACACATTAAAACCTGGGTCGAACAGGAAGCTAAGGTGATTTTTAAAAAGTTCGCTGCGTCAGGACCTGAACCCACGACCTTAAGATCCTCAGGCGTGCGTTTAGCCGCAACACCACTGCGGCTTCCCGCTGGTATAATGTCTTCTGATAATATTTAAATGAATCCGCCGTGGCCCGTGTTATGGCCAACATATCTTAGTTTTCGAGACAAGATGCTGTTTACAAGCCAAACAAAGGTAAGCGTGGGGAGTTGAGTTGAGTTAAGAACTGACATCACAGCACTCGGGGCATTCTAATGCATGCTCCGTCCTCATCTTCTTCAGCAGCCAGCGCAGAGTTCTAATGCTGATGGTACTGGTCACAATCTGGTTACATGTTTGTCTTTCCTTTCCTCTCCTCTGATTGTAGTGAGCCAGCCAGACCATCTGGTTTCACCCAGGTGCCTCATTCTCTCCAGGCCATCTGAGTTCCATAATCTGTCTTTGTAATTCGACAGAACATTATAACTGATTACCACTCGAATCATTAAGTATTGGGACCCTGCCGTCAATATATCCAGCATGTAGTCGCTGACGATAGCAATTATGTGTTAAATGCATTCTTTGTTTTTCTGCCGAGTGCCCTTGTCTGGCTTTCTCTATTTTCGCTTGCATGTCTTGCAGTCTGGCCGTGGTTTGGTGGTCACGGTTGTAGACTCAGTCATCATTTGATTACTTTCCCGTGTGGGTTCCGAGGCCCTTTTGCAAGGGGAGGGAGGGGGGGGGGGAAAGACCCACTGTCTACCCAAAAGCATATCGTAGACTACGTGGCAGTTTCCTTACAGGTCAGAGTGCTTAGCCTGAGAGTCAAGGAACCAACAGTCGGTATACAAAGGAGTCAGTTATGTAAAATGAATGCGCACGCAAAACTCAGGTACTGAAACAAGATTGAAGTCCTGAAGCGGACCACGGCCATCTTTCGCTGTATCTCTATGTAGGCAAAAAAGAAATGATCGTTGCCCTACGCTTACCTTGGTGAAACAGTTTGAAATGTACTCGAATTGTGTTTCAGTTTCTAGGATTCAGCTATTTGCTTCATTTTAATTAATTGTTACTGTAGTGTGCACCTGACGAGATACAGCGAAATATGCCAGGCAATAAATTGTGCAATCTATTGTTTGTGTCTTCTTTGTTCAAATTCACATCGGGAAAACATTGCTTTGATTAAAACCATTTAAACAAAAATTATGTGCTGTCCCCCCCCCCCCCGCCCCTCCACAAGTCTTTCTTCGGTTTTACTGCTTCACTTTTTTTATCTGTCACAATTTGTAGCGATGTGTAATCTATCCAAGGCGGATAGGTGTATCGAAGTATGACGACATCACTGTACATCAAAAGAAAAAAAAATTAGGTTTAGGTTTAGACGACAGATGAACATCATGTCACCAGGGTAGTAATCCATAAATGCTCCATTCTACTTCTGACTCAAGCCTGTATCCGAATAATCTCAGCGCAGTGCACGAACTCCGTAACACCAGCGAGGATGAAACAAAATTATGACATCTAAAAGATATGGCAAGACGAATAGTTAACCAGATGACAACGGACACTATCAGTCAGCATGGAAACTCTTTGCTGTCTGTTGAGGAGAGAGACGGAGCTAGAATGGGTTTGTCCTGAATGCTGTGATGTCGAATCTTTACCCAGATTAATTCTGATGTTAAAAACAGGTATTTTATTTGTTACTAGCTAACTATTCCTGGTCCTGGCGTACATGCAGTGGAGATACAATAACACACAGGGGGACACTTATTTAACAATCACATTACAAATGGAAATTTCAGGACAAAAAATTCATTTGAGAGCAATTATTTATTTGCAAATATATGTGCGTCTCGTCAGCAAAAACGCCATTGCTGTTATGCATACTCGTCACTTCAAAGTTGGTAAATTCAGTTTCATGAACATCTATCTGGAAGGCCAATGAAGAAAAACAAAAACGTATGAGGTAGCTACAAATACATTATTTAAGAATATATCTTACACTTTGATATATTGACACCCAAATGTATCAAATATCCTTATACTAATGTCCTAGTGTAACTTCTTTAGTTCGCTTGAAATAGATAATCTACGCCTACACTGTCTTTTGTAATTCACTCAGCGACCTGTAAAGTTTGGCTTCAACCAGTTTCTCTTGGCCAAAAGTTTTGCCTTGATATGCTGTGTTTGTATTGTATTATCATCAATTTCCACTTCTGCCGTTAAGCGTTATGGGGAGCAACAGTTTGCGATCCATTGCTTGATGGATAGCAATGACTAATGTCATTCCTTGTCGATGTAGAAACTCTTTAATGTCATCAATTCATCTTCTTCTAGGGCGGACTTGCTTTTACTTCAGATCTTTTCACGTATAGCTCCTGCGTTGGTGGTTGCTCTGGCTGCATTCTTACTAAATAACCGAGCCATTTGATCATTTGTTTCTCAATGGATTTGCTGCATGGTGTTGTTCATACAGTCAGTCTGATAATATTTCCACCTGTCTCGGGTGGTTAAGCTGCGACTTTTCTCAGGCATCTCATTTCGCACGTGTTAATTCTACATAGGT